GATATTTCACTGATGGAAGAAGCAGTAGTGGAACTGAATACCTACCTGTCACACGAGAATGGACGGCTGCAGGAACTGGCTGATGTTCTTCAGGAGAAGCACAGAGTCATGTCTCAGGAGGTATAAAAAGGAGAGAGAGAGAACCCTGCTTTAGGGTCCTGCTTAGCATAATTTATAGTCCCCATAGATTGGAAGATACCTCATTTCCTTGGAGAGGCACAGGAGAAGCACGGTTTGAAAGTTACAAAAACAGTTGTTGTTGTGGAGAGTGGTACATAGATTTTCTGTATAAATCAGATTGATTTGCTTGTTACATGTCTAAAGGAAAGGATATAAGCAAGTCAGTGAGCTGAATGGATTTAACTTTTAAAGAAAGGGGGAGAGCAGAGAAACTGGGGGCAGGTGATGCTGAGGTGGCTGTGTTCCAGGTGGCTGTTCCAGACACCTGGAACAGTTGGGGTGGCATCTCTGTCATTCTGAATTCCTTGTTGTTTGACAGTGTAATCATATCAGTTACAGGATGATCGCAATTGTTAAAGGATTCACATTATTAGCAACATTTGTTTGAGAGATTTCAGTTCATTTAAAGATTGTGTTAATGCTGGTCTTGCTTAGCATTAGACCTCTGAGCACTTAGGTACTCTGTAGAGTAGATGGACATAGGGATTGAAAAGATTAAAATCCAAAAAAGCCTTTGAATTAGCTGAGGTGGCTGCCTCTGTATTCTGCCAGATATTACCAGCTTCCTGTTCTTTCTCCATTTTCAGTTTTGTCTTAATTTTGTTGCTGTCTTGAGATTTAGCCAGTGTAAAATTCAGGACAGTTCATGGAATGGTCTGTCACCACAGCAAAAGGTGAAAAGCACACGATGAATAAGAGAAAAATTACTCTGGAGCAACAGCAGGAAAAGTTGGCTCTATGCAATGTGCAGGCTGAAGCACTCCTTTGATTGCAGTTCTCCAAGCTGCAAGAGAGGGTGGAGACAGCAGAATCCCGGGTGTCTGTCCTGGAGACCATGATTGATGACCTTCAGTGGGACATTGACAAGATCCGCAAGAGAGAGCAGAGGCTCAACCGCCACCTGGCCGACGTCCTGGAGCGAGTAAGCGCTGGCCAGGAAACCTGGGAATGGGGGTGGTGTTGGATGGGTGTGTGACATCCTCTCTGGGACTTTGCTGTGTGTCATCCTCTCTGGGACTTTGCTGGGAGAGCTGAGAACCTGCAGTGTTCCTTCTTTGGTCTTGGACCTGCTGCATCACTTTTGTCGGTATTTCACTGGGTCTTGAGGAAATCTTCTGCATTTTTTGCAGGTAAATTCCAAAGGCTACAAGGTGTATGGAGCTGGGAGCAGCATCTATGGGGGAACAATCACCATTAATGCCCGCAAGGTGAGGTCAGGAGCTTGGTTGTGGTCAAGGGGGAGAATAGAGTCAGTGAGAACAAGGGCCACAAATTGAACAGAATTTAGATATATTTTAGATAATTTTTAGATCCTGTGCCACAAAGCTGGGTGACTCTGGACAAGCCATTTTGTCTGTGTATGAGTTTTCTACTTAAGAAACACCTGGTGGAATTAGACTCTGTCTCACTTGGTCAAGTTACTTGACTGCTCAGTCTGTGACTGCTCTTACTGCATGAACAGATAGGTTGTTAGCACTCTCAGGAGACACATTAACAGTAGGATTTACAAGCAGTTTATCCCAACAGTTTGAGGAGATGAATGCAGAGCTGGAAGAGAATAAAGAGCTTGCTGGGAATCGCCTTAATGAATTGGAGGAACTACGTCAGGATCTTGAGGAAGTAACAACACAGAATGAAAAGCTCAAGGTGAGACACCTGCAGCTGTGTGAGGATGAAGGTGTTCTGTGGGATGGGCTGCCCTCAGTTTTGCAGTGCTGTGTCTGCAGAAAACCTCATTGGCAGTGTCTGTTTTGAGCCTGCTCTTTAGCCGTGTTATGCTTTGCTCCAGGTACAATTCAGCGAGTCTGTCGCTCCACTTGCAGCTCAGGGCGTTGGTGACACCGTGTGGCCACCGTTGGAAATTGTAATGATTTGCTGTCCGTGTCCCGTTGTGGTCTTTGAATCCATTTTAACCATGTCTGGTTAAAACTGTTTTCACATCTTTACCCTCTTCCACTTTCCCCATGCTCTGTGCAAGTGGAAACCAGAGAACACAATCAGGGAACTTGTGTGGGGAGAGAGGTTCTTGAAAGAATCACTGAACGTCTGTCTTCCCCACTGTGGAGGATGAATAGATAGGAAACAGCCTATGAGTTTGTGATGTTTTAAAGGTAGTAACATAAGAAGCTGTGACTCTGTGGTAGATAAGTATATGATGGAGAGAATAATCCAAATTTCATCTTAGAGGTCAGTGCCAGTTATCAAAAATGTCTGTCTCAACAACCTACATCCAGAGATCTGATGCTGGGAACTGTCTTGAGGCACCTCTGAATTCTATTTATCCACATGAGTTTGTTTAGAGAGAAGTGGTCTTTAGCTTATAATTTTTCCCCCCCCTTAATTTTAAGCTGAATGCATGTATATATATGTCTATTTCTCTGCTGCTAGTCACAATCGTTTGCTAACTTTTTTTTTTCTAGGAGTTCAGTTCTATACCTCTGCGTTTTTTTTTTCATTTCTCTTTCTGTCAGTTATTATGTCCTACTGGTAGAAGGCTAACAAAATGCCTAATTGCATGTGCATTTTCTCTGTTTTCTCATACTTTCTATGTGTCCATCTTTAT